GGCTGGTTTTAATTGTCCCCTGATAAAATTCACATCTGTCTCCAAAGCATCGAGGAAAAGAAATGAATCTTCGGAGGGAGGATAGACCTCAGCAAAGCATGGGCAGCTGAGAACATCAACGTTTGGCGTGGGGTAGACGTGGTCTAAAGGCAGCATTGGCACTCCAACTGCGACAATTTGGTGTGTGCAACTATTTTCTCGTTACAAATAGTAAAAGCTTTAAAATGAGTAAATATTTACCATAGTGATCGCGAAGCAATTTATAGTTTTAGTGAACATTTATAAGCTCGCCGAATGAGAATGGGTGTGCTGAGTGGCTCAATTAGACGCGTGGCATGTGCAATATCTGGTGGCGTCGACAGTGCTGTTTCAGCATACCTGTTGAAGCGCAAAGGTATAATTATACCAATTTTTTGAACATTACTAAGGCTTTGAGGTCATTGGTGTTTTCATGACAAATTGGGACCAACAGGATGAGTCTCTCAAATGTTCCATCGATGCTGATAGAGAAGATGCTCAGTTTGTCTGTCGTAAACTTGGAATCGAATTTATAGAGCTTAATTTTGTGAAAGAATATTGGAATAACGTATTTGTGTATGTCATCGTACATTTAAAAGATGAATGTAGTAAAACCGTTGATTCCTATCTTGAAGGGAAGACACCGAATCCTGACATACTCTGTAACCGTTATGTAAAGTTTCAGAAGCTTGCAGAGCACGCATTGAGGTATTCGCCCAAATGTCACCCTTCCATATATGCGGATGCTTTGGCCACAGGTCATTATGCTCAAAACTCATTTGGGAATTTCCTTGAAAACCGGGAGATACATTCTTCACCGCCTAAACTGTTGAGATCGGTTGATCCTGTAAAAGATCAAACATTTTGGCTTTGTAATGTGAGTTCTCGGGTACTATTGTCGAATCACCCGGTTATCTATCCACTTCGTGCTCTGTCGACTTTACAAGTGGTAGTGAAATCTTGATAGTTTTCTTCGGTATTGGTCTTTTCCTTTGGTACAGGTATCATGGAAGCATTTGCAGTTTTGTATGTTTCCTGTGGGAAGCCTCCTGAAGGCAAGAGTGAAGGAGATCGCCGCATCCGTTGGTCTTGAGCGAATTGCCAAAAGGAAAGAGGTGGTTTACTGTCCTTATCTTAGACCTACTAGATCACTGTTATGTTTTACAAAAAAATAAGCTGTAGCTGGGTATCAA